TGCTAGCGTAACCAAGCTTGATACTCTCCTTTGCTCTTTTCAAGTCCAAGAGAAAAAAGTACTTCTTTATGAACTGGCAAGCCAGAATTTCAGGAGAGTACTGTTGCAAAGTGTGGTCCACATGTCCACTTGTGCTTTTGGTCTCAGAATTCAATACATTCAATTCCAAACACAACGTTGTCAATTCAGCCACGTCCTTCTGAAGACTGTTAGCTATGCTGCACGGAGAACACACTTGGAAAATGTCATCCAGGGGCTCCCTCAGACTATTTGTAGGTTCACATGCTGTTGGATCAACAGGTTCTTCATTGCCTAAAGACTCTCTTTTTTCATTATCTTCATCTAGTATTTCCTTTTTTGACTGGTCAAACAATAGCACATCCTGGTTTGATGTCGTGGATGAGTTGCCAGTATCTGAAATACCTGAAAAGTCCTTCACGGCAAACGTTTTTTCTAACTGTGAAAGCCACTCCTGTAAGACCATTCTCAGAGATGTGGGTTCAAACAAAACCAGTGGGTTCTGTAGCTTGGTCCTACACAAAACAGACAAATAATGCAATTTATGCTCCATGTGTTTTTTTAAAACAAATTATTTCATGCTAAACAAACCTACTGGATAAAACATACTTCTTGGGAATAAATGTTACTTTTCAACTCTTCAACAATTATCTCAGCAAGATGAAAATACAGAGTGTTAACTTTAATACTAATTGCTGAATTTCAATTACAAATGAGACTACCTCTGCCCCCCGCAAGTCTCAGGACCACTACCGATGACCTCAAAGTCATTCCCATTCACTATAAAACTCTCTCGTTCATAAATACTCACATTGCTTCTGCTGTCGCTTCTTTGAGCTCTTGGAGCTTGTCTTCTTCTGGAGGTTGACTAATTACTTCTCTTTTGCCCCTAGAAAAGTGTGAAAAGAGTTAAAGGGGATTAGAGCGTCCTTAGACAAATGTTTCTATGTGCTTACTAAGTGGCAAGTATTGTACTTAATATTACATGACACAAACAGAGGAGTACAAAAAATGGTCCACAGCCTCAAGATGAGTAAACTCAAGTGAGAAAGAAAGGTATGCAAACAACTAACTATAACATAAATGAGAATAAAACAAATGCTAAAGAGCAACACAAGCATTGTGCTATGAAAGCACAGGAAAAGGAATAATTATTCTGGGGCGCCTGGATGACTCAGTCATTAAGTGTCTGCCTTTGGCTCAGGTCATGATCTCAGGGTCCTGGGATCCAGCCCCCCATCAGGCTCCCTGCTCCGTGGAAAGCCTGCTTCTCCCTCTCCCACTCCCCCTGCTTGTGTTCCCTCTTTCACTGTCTCCCTGTCAAAAAATAAATAAAATGTTAAAAAAAAAAAAAGAAGGAATAATTATTCTGATGAAGCAATCAAGGGATGCCTTCCCCTGGAGGCAGTACATGTGTTAGGAAAAAAGGGGGGGGGGGTGGGGGGAATAGTGCAGGTGAAAGAAACAACATAAAGAAAGGTAGGGAAGTGTACCCACTTCACTGGAGTGGAATTTAGAGCGCTTGGAAGGATGTGGCTGGAAATGAGGCTGGAAAGGGGGGCTAAGGTCAGACTGAGGGCTGCCTTCAATGCCACAGCAATACCTGTACTTTTTTTTTTTTTTTTGGTCCTATAAATACATGGATTCACGAAACTATTCTATTTCATCCGACTGTCCACATACACTGGGCCTGTGGGGCTCTCAATCCCTGGGCTAGTGCTGAGCTTGCATGCTTCTAATGCTCAGATCCCCTGAACTGTGAGTTAGGGCAGAGACCAGGTGGACAGACACTTCACACTATGCCAGACCAAGGGCTCTGCCACCACTCCACTACTCAAGGACGATGCCACCAGCATATCGTTAAGAAGGTACCTGGCAAGACCTCAATGCCAATGCTCTCATCTTACAGGCCAGAGAGCATTAGTGACTTACCCAAGGCCACATGCCAGTCAGAAGCACAGCAAGGACAGGGCCTCGATCATTGGTCATCCTACTCTTATCTAATACTCTTCTCTAACATCCCAGAAGTTTGAAGAGATTTAGAGGAGAGGAAAGGTATGTAAAGATGAAAAAGGTGCTAAATTATTAAAACTCTCTCTCAAAAGATTTGCTATGGATAGATGTCATTTTCCAAAACTTACTTTATGGTATTCACATTTTTTATGAGCTACACAATCTACAATGAACAAGGTCATACATGTGCCTTCTCCAATAGCACAGAGTCTAAGGCTTTCTTCACAATGCCAGCTGAGTCCTCTAGCATTTACCCAGATTTATATGCAAGAGCTTACTCAGTGTCTTGTTCCTTCGGGCAGGTGACTGGACTCATCTCGTCTTCACAGAACTGCTCATCACCCCTGGGTTCTGGTCTTATTTTCAGATCAGGGCTTGTATGAAGGGTGCCAATCTTCTCAGTGGTTTTACGCACAAAGCTAGAAACACTGGAAGTCAAATACCAAAAAATACAAAAAAAACTTCGTTACTCCCAAGAACGAAAAATTCAGTACCTGAGTTCTCTATGTTCCTGTTAGTCCTACAAAGGCAACTCGGACTGAATAGAAAGACTATGCTTATAGCAACTTCCCTCATCAACTATATATTTCATATAAGGCCCACGTAAAATTTACAGTATAATAAGGATTCACTTCATTTACTAAACTGCTTTGATTCAGCGCTAAAGAAAAAGTCTTTAACTCCAGCTATGTCTACAATGTTTCTGTCAACTTAGGCAAAGGAGGCCATGTGATCACCTGCCCCATTCTGGCCAGAGAAACAGCAGAATTTCTCCATGAAACTCAGTGGCTAACTAGGAACAATATATCTTCCTTTATAAGCAAAACTGCATCCGGTAATTGAATCACTGTATTGTACATCTGAAACTAATGTAACACTGTATGTTAATTATACTGGAATTAAAATAAAAACAAAAAACAAAACAAAGACCCATAAAACTGTATCCAGGAAGACTCAGATAAGCAGTTAAGTAGCTTTACAAAATCTTTTCTCTCAAACTCGAATGCCAATTCTGAAGAGTCTCCAATTCTGAGCCCAAACTGAGAAAGGATCAAGAAAAGACTAATGATATATAGAAACTGTTCCTATCAGGGATGAGGGAAAAACAGATTTTTCAAACTTTTGCTCTGTCTGGGGTGGAGGGCACATTCTAAAACAACTCAAATATCCAACTACTCAAAGAGGGAAGCTAAATTGCCCAAGATGGAAATGAGAAGTTAATAGCCTCAGGTAACAGGTTATATGAGAAATAACCTAGAGGCTTCCATTTTTTCTCATTTAAAATGTCTTTCCAGGGGCACCTGGGTGGCTCAGTCAGTTAGCATCTGCCTTTGGCTTGGGTCATGATCCTGGGGTCCTGGGATCGAGCTCCATGTCGCATTGGCATCAGGCTCCCTGCTCAGCGGGGAGTCTGCTTCTCCCTCTCCCTCTGCCCCTCCCCCCGCACCGCCCCTCCCCCCCCCGCCCTTGCTCTCTCTCACTCGCGTGCATTTTCTCTCTCAGATAAATAAAAATCTTTTTATTATTTTTTATTTTTTTTTAAGATTTTATTTATTTATTTGTCAGAGAGACAGAACACAAGCAGGGGGAGAGGCAGGCAGAGTGAGAAGCAGGCTTCCCGCCGAGCAAGGAGCCCGATGTGGGACTCGATCCCAGGACCCTGGGATCATGACCTGAGCCGAAGGCAGCCGCTTAACCGACTGAGCCACCCAGGCGTCCCAAATAAAAATCTTTTTAAAAATAAATTAACTAAATAAATGTCTTTCCATTCTCAGCACAAAAGTACCTAATGTGACAACTGAAGTGAAACAAGAAACGGGATTCAGTGACAAGACTAATTTACCTTTCCTTGACAGCCTGAAGAGACACAAGAGGAGATGGAGAACGAAATGATAGCGGGATGCCGAAGGGGAGAAAAGTTTCATTTTTATCTGTCTCAAATGTCACAGGAACATGAGAACCTCTGTCTGATGAATGGAATCGAAGGGAAAAGAAAATTTAATCGCACAGGGTTTTTTTAATCTTTAAAAAAAATTCTGAAATGAATAAACCAAAGGAAATGAAGGGTTCCATACCAAAATCACAACTGACCCAGATACAAATGAGCAGAACACAGGTTTACAAGATGCACGGGATGGCCCACATATAAAACACTTAGGCAGGTACCTTCATTTTCCTACTAACCCTGAATCCCCATAAGTCAAAAAGAAGGTTTAGAGTCTCTATTAATCTCTTCTCAACAGTTCATCACAGGAATACTCGAACATCGAAAAGTGAAGGCAATGGCCCCCAAAACTGTAGTAATTTTTCATTCCTGATGGAAAATAATTTGGTTAGTCAAGATAAAATTGTTCTACTTCACTGGTTAATGACCTCCTTTCTTAACTTTCCCAGCACTCTGATGCATGACCATAATTAGGGACTGTATCAATGTCAGCCTAAACAGGAGGGTGAAAAACAGAACTAAACATAAACCCATTCTTTCAGTGGCAAGCAGATCTACAGGTCTGAGTGGAAAGTCTATCAACATAAAAAAGATTAACACCACACAGAAAACTCAATGCACAAGTTAATCCTGGCAAATAGAAGTCATGGAAAATAACTGCTTCCTACCAGCAACCAACAAAGCACACCACCATCACCTTCATTTCCGTGTGAGCTCCAACACTGATCTGGTTGGTCCTCTTCTTGAGGTGAGGCAAATTCTTTGAGTCTCTCATCTTCTGAGAGGGTCTGACTATGAAGGGAACAAGAGTCTTCATCTGACTGACTGCCTCTTCTATTACTAATGATCCGATAAATACCAGAGTCCAAGATGCTGAAACTTTCCTAAAAATAAAAAAGATCCCCCAAAAATCAAAGTGAAACTTCCCTTTATAACACAAAAAAAATTTTTTTAAGAGAACAACCAACATGAGTAAGGAGCAAGTCAGTAACAACAACTACGGTTTAACAAGGTTTAGGTCCCTGGCAGCTGGCTCACACTCACGGACTGATGACAGCCTGCTCCCGTCTTTCCCTAGCTTGCCTCCATGAGTCCTGGCAGTGAGAATGGGGCTGCATGGAGACAATCCTGAGCTGCGCTATGACTCTAATTAGCATGAAGCATCCGAAATCACGTATTAGGAGCAACTTAACTTGAGCTGCACGCTATATGAGGTACATCTGGAAACACAATACAATAAACGATGAAACAAAATGTGGCTCCAAGACACACCTAAATGGAGGCTTCATAAGGGCTGCCCAACAGCTGAAGGAAAGCCTCCTCTTGGCAACTCCCCTCCCCCACCCCAAATCTACTATATGGAAAGGAAGGTAAACTTTGGGAACTTAAGAGATATGTGAGTACAACCTAAGGAAGAAAAACCGTACTGTGCAGATAAACCCTTTAAAAAGTAAAAATACCCACATGTGACGAAATGGAGCTTCTTCTACTGCTGCAAGCTGAATCCAAAGGTTCAAATTTTAAGATCAATTCTTCCAGTTGAGTAATTAGATCATTATAGGTTGTAACGTCTAGCTGAGACTTCAAATGCTCCAATTTATCCACAGTCAAAGATTTTCTTCCCTAATGACAGGATTAAGTAGAAACCAAATAGAATAGCTTACTATTTATAACTAAATGTAAATTCAGTGGCCAATATACTGAAAGAGGTTTAACAGAGAAGATAAAACCTCAAAGGTGCTTTAAAAAGGTTTAATAAGCTAGTGAAAGACTTAATGAGAATGATTTTAGGAATGAAGAGTTACCATATACACAATCATCCCCCTTAAAACAAGGCCTGAAATTCAAGTAAGTTTCTGAGAAAATGTAATTTTCTTTAAAATGGGAAGTATACCCTTTTTCTTACCCTCCACCCACTCCTAGATTTGTCTGTCATACTTCCTTTAGGGATTTATTGCTGCTTTATCTGTAGGTCATACAGATAGGACTAATAAAGACAAGAAACTTTGTAGCACACTTCCACAAGCTAGGGTGGTTCTAACAGCCCAGGTGAACATGTAAGCTCTCTGACTCACTCTGCTGGCGATAATAGAGTTTTGGAAAAGACAGCAAGTGCGAGCAGCCAGGTTCCACAGGCCTCTCCTCAGCAGGCGTTCCACACAGCGTTCCACAGACAACAGAGAAAGATGTGAGACTTTCCCGTTTAGGTGCAAACAGAACAGCTCATTCTTGCAGACAGCCACATCCTGAATATCTACAAAACCCACAGGGGTGAACACACAGAAGGTTAACCAAATACTCTTTTTCCATGTTGGTAAGGACTGAAATTATTCTAATAAATTCACTTTTTATATTGAGTTTGGCTTGCCTGAATTTCATCTCTATTATACTTGCAGTTCAATGAAGAAATCATATTTTAGACACTTCTAAAAAGATCAAAAATAAAAGAGACAAAACCACATCTCTCTTATCTAAAATTCTATGTTTAAAAAGGCTACTTTCTGGGGCACCTGGGTGGCTCAGTTGGTTAAGTGTCTGAGCAGGGAGCCCGCTCCTCCCTCTGCCCCTCACCCTGCTTGTGCTCTCTCTCTCTTGCTCTCTCGTTCTCAAATAAATAAATAAAATCTTTAAAAAAAATGCTACTTTCTAAACAAAACAAATGAGCAAAGGAAAGAGAGAGACAAACCAAGAAACAGACTCTTAACTACAGAGAACAAACTGATGGTCACCAGAGGGGAGGTTGGTGGGGGAATGGGTGAAATAGGTGATGGGGATTGAGTGCACTTGTCGTGGTGAGCACATGGTGATGTATAAAATTGTTGAATCACTATACTGTACATCTGAAACTAATATTACACTGTATGTTAACTATACTGGAATTAAAAATAGTAATAGTAAAATAAAATGCTACTTTCTGTGAAAAGAAATTGGGGCTTTAAAAGAGCACTCTACATTAGAGACGAGATGACAACATTTCTGAGAGTTACAATCTGATGTCAATGAATGGATTTTAACACAGTATGTAAATTGAGAGTTCATAAGAAAATACCTATCTTGGCAGAACATCATGAAAGGACTTAAAAGATTAGTTTTTGATCTCACTTATAGGTGCAATCTAAAAAAGCCAAACAAGCAGAAGCAGAGTAGAATGGTGGAAACCAGGGACTAGAGGGGTGGGGGATATTGGTCAACGGGTACACACTTGAAATTAGAAGACAAATAAGCTAGAGATCTAATGCACAGCATCGTGATTACAGTTAACAATACTGTATCACATAATGCAAAGTTGCTAAGAGACTAGATCTTAAAAGTTCTCATCACAAAAGACAGTAATCATATTGCAATATATAGCTGACCCTTGAACAACCTGGGTTTGAATGGCATGGGTCCATGGATATGCAAATTTTTTTCAATTGATACAGTGTAGTAAATGTATTTTCTCTTTCCTATGATTTTGTTAATAATGTTCTCTAGCTTACTTTATTGTAAGAATACAGCAAATAATACATATAACATACAAAGGATGTTAATAGCAAGGTCAATAGCAGACTATTAGTAGTTAAGTTTTGGGGGAGTCAAAAGTTACATGCAGGTTTTCGACTGTGCAGGGGTCTATGGCCCTAAGTCCCCATGTTGTTCAAGGGTTAACTATATAACTGTATCAAATCAATCCTTTGTATACTTTAAACTCATACACTATATATGTCAATTTTTAAAAAACAAACTTGTTTTCGAGGGACAACCTTAGCAACTTAATCCACAAGAAATCAGTATTAATCAGATCAGTAAGTAATGGTTCCTCTTTCTTACATTTCTACAATGTAGAAAATGACCCAAAAGGATAAGATATATTCTCTGAGTTAGCAATGCTAATGATGAAAGATTTCTTTCATTTTGGTTTAAACTAAAAAAACCGGAGATTTTCTCTGCCTCAGTTATGTAAAATGCTGTTCCCAAAGGACTTTTTTTTTTTAAGATTTTATTTATTTGACAGAGAGAGAGCACAAGCAGGGGGAGCCGCAGGCAGAGGGAGAGGGAGAAGCAAACTCCCCGCTGAGCAAGGAGCCCGATGCGGGGCTCGATCCCAGAACCCTGGGATCAGGACCTGAGCAGAAGGCAGACGCTTAACCGACTGAGCCACCCAGGTGCACCCCCCACAAGGTCTTCCTGAACCTCAAACTATTAAGACACAAAACGGAAGCTAAAGCAAGACTTATAATGGGGATAAAGATTCAGGGTAAATAGAAGGAAAAAATTAACCCATTCAATCTTTAGCAGTGGTTACTAATATTTAAGAATAAGTGAAAACTGTATTTAAAATTATCCATGAAGGGGCACCAAGGGGAGGCTCAGTCGCTTAAGCAACTGACTCTTCAGCCCAGGTCTTGATCTCAGGATTCTGAGTTCAAGCCCCGTGTTGGGTTCTGTGCATGGAGCCTACTTAAAAAATAAAAAATAAAAAATAATATTATCCATGAAAAACTGAGTAACTGAATACAAATTCACAAGTGTATGCTTGGGAAATACATTACAATGGGAAACATCTAGGACGTTAATCTTTATTTTTTTTAAGATTTTTATTTATTTGAGAGAGAGAGAGCAAGTGAGAAAGAGAGAGTGCCCGAGCAGGGTGAGGGGTAGAGGGAGAAGCAGACCCCCGCTGTGCAGGGAGCCCGATGTGGGGCTCACTCCCGGGACTCTGGGATCATGACCTGAGCCGAAGGTAGATGCTTAACTGACTGAGTCACCCAGGCGCCCAACATTAATCTTTAAAAGAAACGCCACCTCAGTCTATTTTTCTACTTTTCACACTGCAAAAGAATTCTCCTACGATAACTGAATCTTTCACAAGCATGAGATTAAAAATTACAAGGAAGGGGACACCTGGGTGGCTCCGTCGGTTAAGCATCTGCCTTTGGCTCAGGTCATGATCCCGGAGTTCCCCGCGTCAGAGCAGGGAGCCCTCTCCCCCTGCCCCTCACCCTGCTCATGCTTTCTCGCTCTCTCTCTCAAATAAGTAAATAAAATCCTTAAAAATAAAATAAATTACATAAAGAAGAAAAATATAATTACCTTTGACTTCACTCCAAAGAAGAACTTGAACATTCTGAGGAATGAAAATATAAATTCCTCTTTCTGTCCAAGTCAGCACACAGTGCTCGCTACAAAAGAAAAGGGAAGAAGTTAAGAGAATTCTAGTTTGCGTGGATACAGAAGTTTATGATCTAATTCCCTGAATTCAGACCCTCACGTCAGCTATTAAATTGAGATTGTACAAAGAAAATACAACAGTGATCCAGTTAATCAAGTCCTAACACCTCTTTTATGTCTGTAACAAGAGCCCCTTAAAAAATAGCATAATATGGTGCCAAACTGGGAAAAATTTAGGTACATACACTAAAAACCTAAAAAAAGGAAAGGCTGGTATTGTATCTAATGTTTGTGAAAGCAGCTAAACTTCCCATCACTGGTACGAAGAGGGCACATTTAAAATAGACTACATACCCCACCACAAATCACTCTAGTGAGCCGCATTTAGGGATGGTACTATTTTGATGCCCTTAGTTGTGTGCAGGCAATAAAAGGCTGTAAACTCCTGGTCAACTATCTGCCAGGATCTTTATCAAAGGTTCTTTCTATATTATCTAACCTTGTGGCAACTCATCAAGATAGGTGTGCTTTTCCCTGTTTTATAAAAACAAAAACAAAAACCCCTGAAACTCAGATGAAATAATACACCCAAGGAAAGTCTCGCTCCAACACGTGGACTAAATTTTACTCTACACCTTACAGAATCTACTTCTTCCCTCATTTACCCTCACTGACCCACCCACCAACTATTACCCAGAACCCTGACTATTCCACATACTGCATTTCCATAAAGTCATAGATTTTTTAAGTGCCAAACCAAATAACCCTTCCTTATTTCCTTTATTCTTGATGCTCAAGCAGGGGCCAACCCTCCTGATTGTTCCTTCCTTCCTGAATCTCACCTCCCCGGACTCTGGGACACTGCACTTTCCTGGGCCACCTTTTCCAGTCCTCTGGTACTCTCCATCTCTGCTCAGCTCTTTCCATACTCCTCAGCTTATATTTACTCATATACTCTCTCAAGGCTGCTACTATTTCTCATATACCAATGGGTCATCTCTGCTTCTTCCCCTCAGTCAGGGCATCCCAGCTTATAATGCTCTCACTCTAGCCACCTCCCAAGGATCACAGAAGTGTTACTCCCCTCTGGAATCCTCTGAGAATCCTCCAAGAGCCCACAGCAACTGCTCTTCCTTCTGCACTCACCCTATTTCCTGTCAACCCTGTTCATATGGCACTTAGTCACGTACTGCACTGTTGCAACCCTTATTTTTTATTATTGTTAAACTTTTTGTAGAAACACCACATCTCTCCAACAAAAAAACAACACTGGGGCACCTGGGTGGCTTAGCTGGTTAAGTGTTTGACTCTTGATTTCGGCTCAGGTAGTGATCTCAGGGTCATGAGATCGAGCCCTGTGTCAGCCTCCATGCTCAGCTGGGGGTCTAACTTGAGCTTCTCTCTCCCTCTCCCTCTGCCCCTCCTCCCAACGTGTGCACGCATGCACTCTCTAATAAACAACAACAACAAAAAAATAGGGACTTTTTTTTATTTATACCCCCAAGAATACTAAAAATGGTACTATATGGCTATGAAACACTAGGAGTGATATTTAAACGGAACTAGGTCCTCACACAAATATTAAACATTTTGCCAATGTAAGACAAGGTCACTGTCCCTATGAGAAAATAATCTTTGACACAAAGATGGAAGAACTGGTCAGAATGCTAATCCGAAGGAAGAAAAACTAGAAGGCTACGTTCAGGAGCCAAAGAAGATAAAAATAAGAAACCAGAGGATCCCTGAGTAGAGATGCAAGATCATGATTTTGACACTAAACTTGATACTCAGCTTGGAAAGATTCCTTAGGAAATCTTAGGAGGGGGGCTTCTGTGAGCTCATACTTTGTAATTTATACATCCCTCATCCCCTTGTACTTTCATTGATAATAAACAGACTAGGACACAGCCTAAGAGCACTGCTTTAAAAGTCAAGGGAAGGAGGGGCACCTGGGTGGCTCAGTCATTAAGCGTCTGCCTTCGGCTCAGGTCATGATCCCAAGGTCCTGGGATCGAGCCC